ATTGTAATGCCTCCTGCCTTGTCTTTGTTGCCCAGGATTGCCTTTGCTATTCTAGGTCTTTTCTGGTTCCAGATAAGTTTTAGGAATAATTTCTCTAGGTCTGTGAGATGTTGGTGGTAGTTTGATAGGGATTGCATTAAATCTGTTAATTTTGCTTATCAGGTAGATATTTTGTCTCAGCAATGAGAAAAGTAACTAATACATATGATAAACTTATAAATGACAGAGTAGATTGTTTTTTTCTAAAAGTAAATTATTTGTCCTCAGAGTTATTAGAACATGATATTCACATTTAACAATTCAATATTAAGTATGTAAGTAGCATGACAAAATTATGTAACAATTTAGTATTAAATGTATAGGTCATATAATGAAAATATTTTTGTGTTGTTTATATATAGGTATTAAAGTAAAAAATTCTTACAACAAATAGATATAGTTCATTCCTTATTTCTTATTTTTATTTGATGTAAGGATTTTGTTAGCTTCAAAGCCTTAGCAAAGATATTTTCTCATAGAAGAGCAGATATGTTCAAACAAATGTTTAACATGAATAAAATTGTGTTATCTATTCAATTGTTAAACCTGTATGTTGAAGTTTGAAGAAATGTGAAACTGTTGGACTGCTTATAATCTGGAATTAAGGTGTTATAGCCCTTAAGAAAAGTAGAAACGAAGAAGATACTGAATATCATATAAATAACTATGAATTTGCTATCCTTTGTGATTGATTTGATGTGAAAGAAAAAAGAGAAAAGGGCTGAGGGTGTAGCTCAGCAACAAGTATGTTTGCAAGTATGGCATGCATGCAGTAGACCCCTATCTTTGACCCCAACACTAAAAAAAAAGACTTTTCATTTGCTTTTTAAAGAACTTCAGTTTTTTTTTGGAGGAACTGGGGATTGAACTCAGGCCCTTACACTTGCTAGGGAAGCGCTTATTCCACTGAACTATCTTCCAGCCCCTAAGAACTTTGGAAAACTGCCTAAAGAAGGGTAAAAACTATGGTGGTGCCCTTGATTCTAATGGAGTAATCACCAGTGATTATTTATGAAAAATCCCAGTAAACATTTCTTCATGGGAAATTAATAAAGTTAATTTTTCCTTTAGTAATTCAGTTTTAGTGAGTTGGTATCATCTTTTGAGCCTGTGCTAGTACAATGGGGTACAAAGATGTCTATAAAGATATTTTATATTAAATAGAAGTCTATTTTACTTTCAGTAGTCATACTGTCTCTTTTTCTCTGTCACATTTGCTCTATCTCTGTTTTCAGTAAGTAAAAGAATCAATATGAAGTAGTTGTTTTTAAATATAGTTGTCTAGACTTCTGTCAGATGATAGTGCTCTGTTTCCACTTGTGGATTGGTGGGTGTGTAGAAGAAAGGAACTGATCAGGCTCCAGGAATGTTTCAACCTAGCTTTCACTTGAGCAGTACTACTTTCATATATCTTATATATGATGATATTCTATCAGATTTTATTTTTTGTAGAATTCCTTAGCACTAGGAAAAAAATTTAAAAACCCTGGCCTATGTGATTTCTAAGGACATCATCAGTTCACTTATTTAATGAGAGTTAAATAAATTCAGATAGGCCAATAAATATAAATTGCTATCAATGCAATAAATTAGAAAGAGAATTTGTTTGAATTCTTAATTAATTGTTCTGACTCTCAATTATGGGCTCTATATCTGAGCTTTTGTTCATCGGCAAAACTGATAAACTTGTCTTTTTAATATTCAAAGCTCTTATAAGGTCAGACTTATGATCTTATTTTTCTTACACATTTCAGTTTTGATCAAAAGTCAGTAAATTTTTTTCCCTATAGAATAAATAGGGCCAGGGAGGTGACTCAGTGGAATAAGTGCTTCCCTGGCAAGCACGAGAGCCTGATTTTAATCCCCGGTTCTGCCAAAAAACATTAAAAAAGAATAAATAGTAAATATTTTGTGGTCTACATAAGCTCTCGTTCACATTTCTTATTTTTGTAACCCATTTTTAATTAAAGAGCTGTAGGTGATACTGGGAGTATCAAGATACTGGGAGTCATTCAATATGGGGTCTTGTGGTCTTCTGCTTTAGGTCAGTGGTAAAACACTAAGTATTTTGAAAATTTTGTGAGTTTGACATATATTCCATAACATTTAACTCACCTGCATTCAGAAATGAGTAAGTTCATTATCTTATGAAAAAGATTAGTGGAAGAAATACAATATTGATTGTATATTTTCCTTATTCTTTAAAACTCTAAAATGGTAATTCTCATTTTATATAGGATTCATTATTGTCTCTTGCAGCTTGCATGAGTTCCTCTATGAATAGTGAGTCTGCATTGGACAACGCTGAAGATGAACAGCCAGAGCAGCCAATGAAAAGTATAGTAGCACTGAAAATTCAGCAAAACATAGGTATTTTACTTTTTATAATGTTGAAAAAAGTAATACTTTGGATTTGAGTTTTGTTACTTTAAAATTATTTTCATTTTAGTTTTGTTTTTTGAAAGTGCTACATTAAGCCAGTATTTATCGAATATTATGGATAATGTCAGGAGATAGAGGAGCTTATAAATAATGGAATGTCACCCAAGTGCTCTCAAAGATGAAATATCTTATTAACTTTTCTTTTTTTTTTTTTTTCTATAGAAAGATAGATAAAATTTTGGGAATTGCTTACTGTAGCAAGGTCAGTCTTTTTCAAACTGGTATTCCTAGAATTACTATTGCAGGAGATCTTGACATGTTATTATTTTTTTTTAATTTAAAAAGAAGTCAAGTTCAAGTCTAGAAATTTATAATGCACTTTTTATATTCTGAAGACTCTAAGAAGTGTCGTACTATAACATGCCTCAGGTTTTTTAAAAAAATTTATTTTGATGAAGGACATGTAGACTCTCAGTGGCATAATTTGAGAAATGCTAAGCATTAAAACTATTAAAATCAGAGTTAGAAAATAGTTACGAGCTAGAGATTTAGTTGTAATTTTTGTTGCTCATAGATAAGCTGGTTAAACTTTTGTTCTTCATGTCTGTATATTTTTGCTGTCTGGATTACTTTGATCAGTATCGTTTTTTTAAATGTACAATCAAGAAAAAAAAGTTATTAACCAAAACTTAGATTTTATAATAGTGGAATTTGGGCTCTTGAAGTTTTGAATGCCTGTACAAATAACTTTATATTATAATGATGAAAAGCCACTGCAACTGAAACTTTCTGGCTTAAGCTAAACCAAAGATAGCTGGTATGTTGTGTATATTTATTTATGTATATGAATGCACATACATACTTACAAAAGACTTGGGTCCTCCTAGATACATAGAATTGCTTAGTCTAGAAGGATTGTCTGAGTGCACATAACTCTGTAAGAGACGTGTTTGCAGTCTAATTTTTTAAGTTACTGCTACACCTCCTTTAGCTTTTAGTGTATACATGTGTTTTGAGTATGTGTGTTTGTGTTTGTCTCAGTGTGTTTGTTATTTTATAAGCCACCTATAATCCCATGTAGGATTAATTAGGCTTTTTCTTTTGCTCATCCCATTTCCATTTGTTTTGTGTTTGTTTTGCTTTTAGGTATGATTGCAGCATTTGCAGTTGCAGTCCTTGCTGCAGGCATCTCCTTTCATTACTTCAGTGATTAGAGTGAGGCATAAAGAAATGTCCTGATCATCCAGCAGACATTGATCAGCAACTGTGAATAATAAGGTTGTAAACACCTATATGTAAGACAGTAGCAGCTACATCTGCTGCCATAATGAGTATTAGGTATGTTTCTAACATGAAATCACCAGCTGCCTTCGTTAGCCTGCTTCTATTATAGGTGGCCTAAGTTTTCAAAAATAAAGTTATGCATTTAGGTGAGAGTTGCATGTAACTCATCATTATTTTTAAAAAGTGAGATACCAGAGATTTTAGTCCTATTGATATGTATCTTACATTGTTCAGGGCATTTAACATTTGAGCAGTCAATATTGACTACAAAATCTTAGTAACAGAGCATTAGAGGAAATTCCTACCTTGTGGGGGCAACAATTTGTGGAGTTACTTCATCCTCTGGGAACTTTGTAATATAT